TGTGTCTCTCTCACCTCCATATTTTTCTCTTTCTCTCTCTGAAGTTAAATAGAAAAATACCCTCAGCTGAGGATTTAAAAAAAAAAAAAAAAAAAACACAAACAAGTTTATTATTTACATTTTAAATGAATTAATAAATAAATATACTTTTTCTCAGTTCTAATTCCTAATATAATAAATAGTTGCACATATTAGCCATATAAACAAAGCTCTTTTATTTGGAATCTTCAATAATTTTAGAGGATAAATTGGTTTTTAGAAAAAATGCTTGAGAACCTCTGTCCTAAATGAAGTAAGTCTGATCTGAATATAATAATACAATATTTTGATTGATATTGAAAGTATGTTTCCTATAATAAGTTTTAGGAAACTAAAAGAAGGAATCATACAGGGACAAAGAATCCCTTTCCAACCTGGTTCCAATGGGCACATTTTTCTCATTTCTAAGTGACGTTAAGTTTCATAGCTATCAATATGAAACAGATACTGTAAAACATCAGTACTAATATGCAAAGTTACACATAAATATTTGATTCATTAAATCAAGAGCTTTTAATTGACTTCTGAACTGTTATTATTCTTTAATGTAACAATGACAATGTCCAAACTCCAAACATAAAAAGTCTAATTCAAGTATGATACATTTTTCTTCTATTCAGTGGAATAAAACATGAAGAATCAGCAAGTAAACTATAAGTTATTTTGCTCCAAAATGTCTATGTGTGTATTGTAGCCTTATATCAGCACTGTATCTGAAAATTATTTTTAAATTACACACACACACGCACACACACACACTTATGCTACTGTATAAGAATCAAAATTGATATCAACATTATCTAACTTAAGAATTAATAAGAGTTTCAAAACACCTATGCTACTTGGTTTGCAGTCGCTGGATTACTAAATGCTATTGAAACAATTATGCAAGAAATCCTGCTATATAAAAGCTATAATACCACTTTATCTCATTGTCATTTAAATGCTAAATCCTCCATTATAGTGGTAAATTTGATTTAAAATAGAATTTTTCAAGAAGAACAAAAAATATAAGGTTAACCAAAGTAAGGAAACAGAGCTTGAATTTGTGGTATATAGCTTGCTAGGACATGGACTGATCTTTTGATATATTAAAAAAAAACCAGAACCTCTGACATGCCCTACAGATGAAATATACTGATCTGGAACAAAAATTATGTGAAACAGCTGTTAAGTGACAGAGAAATGTGCATTGGACCACCAGCCTGTCATAAATTACACTTTTAATCAGAAAGCATCTGTCTTTCATTTCTTTTTCATCAATCTCTGCACTGTATTTACTCTGAGCAGAATGTCTCTCCTAACAGGTGCAACAGTGTTTACAAATTGAAAACCTTATTTAAATGAAGCTTACAACTAGAGAGGTTTCGATTAATAGGGCAATATTTTGTGAGAAGAAATAATTCTAACATTTGGCAAATCCATGCATTGCTTTGCATTTGAGAAATTTAATTAGTGGAAAATTAGAGTAAATACACCAAGAAAAGCTATAGGTGAAAGGTGCTTCAAACAATCTTATGCAATGTATCAGTATGCAGAGAAGCTATAGGAAAACGGTACCAGTGAGAATATGGACAGCATGCGAAATTTGGGATAGACATTATAAAATGTCATGTTTAATCAAAAAATAACTTTAGAACTAATAATATCCATATGTCTATTAAAAGTGGCAGTTATGGCACTAGTTAATTTTTCTACAGTTAAATTTTTTTTCTATTATTATTATTCTCTTTTTGAAATTGAATATACCAGATTCATAATCAATCTTGGCAGATTCAAAATAATGGCAGAAATACCAAGGTTTACATTCTAATCACCCAAATACATTTTAAATAGATAATTTCTCAAAAACATTAGCATAACAATAAAATGAGCTTCACTAAGAACACATACACAATTTTTAAAGTGAAAGAAAGTGTTGAATTATCCACTTAACTATTATACTCAAAATGTGTGCAGACATAATAAACTGTTCCTACAGGGTCCAGGCAGGTAATATAGGGAACACAAGTCTTGTAAAACATGTGGGCCCTTTGGTTGATCATTCATGTCCCAATTTTTTATAGACACAGATATTGAAGAAATATTATTCTTAACTGCACTCTAAAACAAACAATATGGCAGATTCCGTAATAAAGAACATGGCAAGTGGGTGAGTAATGCACATTTTAGCCTCTTGTGTCCATAGGAAAAAAGAACCAATGTTTGCAGAAATCCAATTTTTCAAAAATGCACAGAGCAAATAAAATATACCTCAGACCGGCTCTTGCCCTTGGGCTTCCAATCTGTGCCCTTTAGTGGAATCACTGGGAGCATGAACTTACTATGAAACTCCTCTGAGGTCGGCTTCGGTCTTGGCCATGTATTAGTTTTATGACCTTGGATAAGCTACTAGATTTTAAGGGTCATTTTGTCCACAACAATAAAAAAAAGTGTTAATAATAATAGCTGACTCATAAAGATATTGTGAGTATTAAATGAGATGACATAAAAACATATAGCTTAGTAAGAACTCAATAGGTGGTAGATATTATATATTATGTGTATAACATATTATAAAATATTACACATTATATATATTATTTTTAAAAATATGTTTTTATTGAATTTTTAAAGAGAGAGAGAGGAGAGAAAAATAGAAACATTGATGTGAGAAACAGCAATTGGCTGCCTCCTGCACACCCCCTATTGGATGTTAAGCCCACAATGTGGGCATGTGCCCCAACCAGGAATCAAACCTGGAGCTCAGTCCATGAACCACACCAGCTGGGACATTATATTTTTAAATCTACTTCAAAATTCACAAAAAGCTCTAATTTTCTTAGCTACTTACTAATCATCATGGGTTAAATTTTTATATCATGGGTAAAGCCTTTCAGTGTTCATAATTTCTCTTAATACAGAGAAATATTTATTATAGGTTAACACAGAAAGCAAAGGTTTTCTATTCTTTGGAGAGTTCACCACACAAAATTATCTCATCTTGAGCAGTCATATTTTGTAAGGGACAAATCCATTTTTAAAAATGTTCCCCACTAAAGCAATATAAACAAGGTCATTTGTTATAATATAAAGCAGAGAGGATTCTCTTCTAAGCATTTATTAGAGACAAATATAATAAAAATAATTTTGATGATGGAAGTTAGACATTCTGAGTATAATCTGAAAATCTAATTGGTTTCTCCAAACTAAGCCAGTAGGTAGACTTTAGCCTTAGGAGTTTCAGTGATAATAGCACTTTCTTAGAACTTCACTGAAACTAGTTTCCAAATCTTATATCTATTGACACCTCAGATCCTCCAGCTGATTCTAATCAACGCCACCTCTTCTGTTTAGATGCTTGTTTTCCTAAAAATGTATAAGCTCTTTCCTTATACTAATATGTTCTTACATAAAATGTTTAGAAATTCTCCTACTAATATGTTGGACCTACAATCAGATGATAATAATTGTAAGGACAGCTATGGTTGATAGAGGCCTTATTATCCATTCGATGTTAGTTAAACCCTTTACATGCATAGTCTCATTTATCCTTATTATGGCTCTATGGAGTAGACTTCATTAATATACCATAGTACTCATCTCTAAAATAATTCTAAAAGACATTAAATCATTTGTCTAGTCAGTATCAGAGTCAAGAGTCAACTATTAGTTCCATTCTTAAGGCTATACTATACTGCCTCTCTAAATTCTTGGCTTAAAACTCAACAAATGAATCAGACCTGCATTGAATAAAAGCTATCATTCAATGTGCTGACATGACAGGAGTTATATGGGCTGAGATGGGGAAATGATAAAGAGAGATGACAAAATATCAAGCGTAACAATTAAAAATGAGTTAATTTCTTAATACATCATAACAGTGGACTTGCGTAAAAGAGAAAATATCTCTGCACATGTACCTCATTTTCAAACAACAATAGCATATGAAAATCAAAATGTAAAAACAGATAAATCATAATTATTATTTTTGCATTACCAACCAATTTATCTCATCACAATAGGATTCACCCAGCGTTTCTCCCTCCATGAAGTGAAGATGTCAGAGATGACCAGCTGTTTACAGAGGAGCTAAGGTGTGTGGAGGGGCAAGGGGGGGGATGCAGAGAAACACAGAGCTCCATATTGCTGATGCTTTACAAATTAAGCTATTAAATATCAAAAGTTGAGCCTATAAAAATATAATTTTAAGTACAACTTTTCAAGGACATCTATGATCCAGGAACAAAGCAGGTTTTATTTTCTAGCCACCATTTTGTTAATGTAAAAATTACCTCAAGCTGGCCACTCTGGAGGCTTTTAAAAAACTCCCCAAAAGTCATGCACAATTTATTATTAGTTTTTTAAAGGTAAAAATCTTCACCTGTTTTATATCAACAGAGAAACAGTTTTCCTGTAACACATTTCTGAGGAAGACTAAAATGACTGAAGTCCAATAGATGGATGAACTCAGACTTAATCAAGGTGAATCATGCCTATGCGATACTATTGGGTGAAAAACACCTATCTTCACAAAAAAAAAGTTGTATCTTTTAGGAAGGCAAACTATTGACAAACTTTGGGTAGCTAATTCACAAGACACATTAATATATAGCATATGAAGTGCATTTTTCCTTGGACAAGGAGAGGAGAATCTATTGCACATGTCATCTATTTCTGTGAATGCTGAAGATTACAATTATGTCTTGATGTTAATCCCACTACAGCAAATTCAAAGCACACCGTGAAAATGTGAGTGACAGTATAAATCTTTTTCAATTGAATCCAACACTACTGAAAAGAGCTGATGTTTCCAAATACTGTTACAAAGCCTCTGAACAACAAGAATAACGCTCTCAATGAAGCAGCTTCTTGTAGTGACCTATTTGAAAAGAAAGATAAATAGCCAGGATAAAATAAAATTCTCCATGTCTGCTATATTGTGTACATGTGTGAGTGTTTTGATTTGTAGAAGCAATCACCTGTAATGCCTTGATGTCCTCATAGGCGAACTGCACAGTGGGAACGCCAAGCTGGTTGACGAAGTAATTCGCATCACCTTGTATCTGCACCGAACTGACATTGGTTTCTGGGCACTGAGCTCTTCTGGAACAGTTGAGATTATTTTTCTGAAAAATAGAATTCCTGTTGTTAGCACAAACTAAGCTTCTTAGGGCATCCTTAAATCAATGCTACTCCAAGTACAGTCCATAGAGCAGCAGCATCCACGTCACCCAGGAACCTATTCAAAGTACAAATGTTCAGGGTCCACCCATGTCCTCTTGAATGGGGACCGCCAGGGACGAAGCCCTGGATTCTTTGCTGTAACACTGTGCTCTGATTCTGGCTTCCGAGGCTCACTGAACTGTGGCTACTGCTGGCCCAAATCTAATTGCTTGCTCTTGTTCTTCGAAAGCATTTTTATCAAGGAATTTTTATAAACCATAATGACTCTTTAATTGGAAATATTTTTAAAGAAGGTGAGTCCCTTAAAAAGGTTTGGTTTTATTGTTTTTGTGTTGTTTATACTGTTGGCTTTCCATAAATTTAAATTTAAAAGATGATTTGGTAGGATAAAATTTCATTATTCCAAAATGGGTTTTGGAAAACACAGGAGAAATTTTCTCCATTTCCTCTTTTTTTTTTTTTTTTTTTTTTGGTATGTGTCCTTAGCGGGAACCGACCCTGGGATTCTCTGGACCGCAGGCCAACACTCCAATTGCTGTGCCAAACCGGCCAGGGCTCCATTTCCTCTTAAAAGCATATTCCCACATGTTTGAAGACTATATGACAACAACTCTGAGGGTCACCAAGAACCACACAGCTAAGTGCAACCTCTGGGGAAATGCAAAGAGATGGACCAGTATTTCTTAAACTAATAGTTGTCTAACATGCAAAACAAATGATAGTAGCTTTACCAAATAAATTATTAATAAGTGAAAAACAGTCAATTGTTTCTATAATTAATGCTGAGTAAAATATATTCTTTAATAAAATTTCCAAAAATCGAGAATCTTTTTGATGTTATTGTCCAAAGTATGAGACATGGAAGAATACCAATCTCCTCAGCATCAATCAGAAGGGAAATGAGCAACCACATGAGAACACCATGTCAGATACGCAGAAAGTACAGAGAGGGGCAAAAGTAGGTGTCCAGTTGTGAGCACACAAAACACAGAGTTTATTCTTGTATTTGTATTTATTAATTATTGTATTATTTTCTATGCAAACCACTGTAAACCTACTTTTGCCGCACCCTGTATGTACTCAAGACACATTTCCTATAGAATAAAAAAATCCGTGGATTCTTCACCCTCTCCCCTGCTTCTTTGGCATAAAACAATTTCAAAAATACTTTGAGCCCTGGCCAGTTTGGCTCAGCGGTTAGAGCGTCGGCCTGCGGTCCGGAGAGACCCGGGTTCGGTTCCCGCTAAGGGCATGTACCTCGGTTGCAGTTTGTCCCCGGCCCTGGTTGGTCGTGCGGGTGGCAGCCACTCGATGTGTCCCTTCACGTCGATGTTTCTCTCTTTCCTTCCTCTCTCTCCCTCCCACTCTATCTGTACAAAAAAAAATGGAAAAATATCCTCGGGTGAGGATAAAAAAAATACTTTGAAATATAACCTGTACAAAAATTTGAAATATGCAGTTTAATTTTCATAAAGCAAGTTATTCCAACTTTTTCATATACAATGCTAGAGTTTTCAAACATATAGTAATGTTTCAATGCCCATTCAATTTTCTTTGAGGACTTCATAGAAAGATCTTTTTAACAAAGGTAAATTAAATTAAAATGGAGAGCCTGAGTATTTATAAACAAGGCAAGGTTTCAGCTTAATGTTATTTACTACCAATATTTTGGGTAATTATGCACTTTGCAAATAGAAAGTAAGAGAGTCTACTGTACAGTCCACTCCGTAGTCAACTAATGCTTTTTATGGTTACTCCCACCAACTTGCTTCTTTTGAAAGCCCACTTTCCTGAAACTAGCGTTAATCACTTTTTCCTGCCTCATAACACTCCTGAGCTGAAGACTCTAGAGATTTTATCCCCGGAACGGTTCAGGTAAGGTATTGAATATTCCCAAGGAAGAGCTACCTTAAGTACTAGATAATGAAAAGCAAAGAAACGACTTTCTTTCATGTAAAAAATACCACGTAGTGCTGAGAGATCTAGGGGTTAAAAACTGGCAACTGCGGCCCTGGCCGGTTTGGCTTTCTGGTTAGAGCATCGACCTGTGGTCCAGAGAGACCCAGGTTTGATTCCTGCTAAGGGCACATACCTCGGTTGCAGTTTGTCCCCAGCCCTGGTTGGGTCATGTGGGTGGCAGCCACTCGATGTGGCCCTTTCACGTCGCTGTTTCTCTCTCTCTCTCTCTCCCTCCCACTCTATCCGAACAAAAAATGGAAAAAGTTGTCCTCGGGTGAGGATAAAAAAAACAAAACAAAAAAACTGGCAACTGTGGAGATATGTCTTTAGCCAGAATGCATTTTTAAAAATTTAATTTGAAAGTCTTGGTTGGGCAAGTTATTGACCAGTGTCCCATCACTAGTGTCACACTCATCCGGCATCACTCATTCAGACGGTGGCCAGAGGCACTGGATTTGTGGAACCTAAATAGTTGCACTCCTTTATGTTATTGATGAAGAGTTCATAGAATCTAGTCTTTTCTTTCCCCAGATGCCTAGCCAATGAAATTACAAATCATCCAAGTAATCTACTTTGTTTTTACTGCGGCAACATCTATATCTTTTTGGGACATCACATGTGGTCTACTCAATCTTGATAAAAATACATATTTGGCTTTCATTTCACTTTGTAAACATAATTCTTAATACCCGCTACAAATAGCAGCTACATTCCCTACATAGAATTGTTTTTCCCAACAGATGAATGGCATGGGTCAAAAATTGACAACTCTAAATTCTACAATGTGTTTCTGTAAAAGAATTGATTTTAAAAAATAAAATATAAATGTGATTCATATATAAATACATAAAATATTTGATATTATTTTCATTTAGTTATCACTATTATATAAAAGCTTCCCTCTGAGAAAAAGTATCCGCTTTTTATTTATTCAATTTTCAAAGATGGCACAAATACTCCATTCCAGTCAATCCTTGCATTCTTTACTTGCTGTAATAGTTACACAAGAATCAGTTCTTATTTAGCCTCAGCTCTGAATTGGTTCAGGGCATTCTATCTGAAACCAGCACAGATTCTCTTCTATGCTCTCTGTGCTCACCATGGCTTACTTCCATTATACATTTTTCATTGCATTTCATGATCTCTTACACAGGAATGTAGTTATTACTACACCGTTTCTTCCATATTTCTGTTTTTTAGACAAATCTAAAGGGCAATATCCAACCTTTAGGATTCTATACCATGAACACTTCTGTGTTCTTTCCCTTCCCTGGCTTGTTTTACTTCACCCATTTATTAAAAAGTCTTGTTTCAACTCGAAAAAAATGGTGGCGGAGTGAATGGAAGCTACACAGACCATCTCCCAGGACCAAACTGAAATTACAACAAAAATAAAGACAAATCATCAGGAAAAAGCAACAGAAAAGCAGCTTGGAAGACCACATAACCAGGGACACTGACTCAATCCTGGTAGGCTTGCTGAGGGCGAGAGGGGGCCGGGAGCCCATGGTCCGCAGCAGCCTTAGCTGTGAGCAGTGGCCTCAGCTTGGAGCGGTGACCTCCGCCAGGAGCTGCAGCCTCGGCTGGGAGCAGCGCCCTCGGGTTACACTCCAGAGCACAGAGCCGTGACAGAGGCTAAAACAGCCACAGCCATTCACCTTGGGCTCCGGCAGAGGGAGGGCAGACTGGACTAGAACTGTGTGAGGACACTCAGGATTTGGAGGGCGCTCAAAGCTTTTGCTGAGTTGCGGCCACTCAGGACTGTGATCCTCTTACTCCTTCCCAGGGCTCTGGGGAGATGAGGCAGCCCCTCCCTCAGAGATTCACCCCACCCGGTGGCCATTGAAATGCAAATTGAGGCCAATGACCAACCTGCAACTGCCCCAACCTCAGGAAATCCCCTTACTCTAAGCACCTGAGGGAGTTTTTCATTCAACTCAGAAGCCAAAGCTCTTCAGGTAATCCCTACTGATAACCTCCAGGCAAAAAGCCAGAGGATAACTGTACCACTCCTGGGCTAGCAACTTTAACCAGGAAAGTAAGACTTGACAGTGGTGTTTAATGTGGGTCCTCCCTGGCTCATCCAAACCCAGGAGAGGGAGCCACAAACAGCAGAACACCAAAACCCACAGGGAAAGTTTGGCAGGCTCCAAAGCACAATGTGATAGCCAAAATGGTGAAACACAGAAACAAAAGCCAAATAAAAGAACAAGAGACCTCTACCAATAATGAGATAAATGAGGTGCAGTTAAGCAAGTTAACAAAACTAGAATTCAGAGCCATGATCTTGAGGAAGCTCAACAGCATGTGTAACGACATGAGCACCATGAGTAAAGACATAGAAATGTTGAAAATCAACCAGTTGGAAATTAAAAACCACCAAGAAGAAATGAAGAATGACATATCAGAAATAAAGAACACACTGGAAAATCTAAATAGCAGATTAGAGGAAGCTGAGGACCAGATCAGTGAATTAGAAGATGGAGTAGAAAAAAATAAAAAAATCAGAAAACCAAAAGGAAAAAAAAAAACTATTAAAAAACAGGAAAACAGATTAAGAGAACTGTGGGAAAACTGGAAACGTAATATCATTCACATTATAGGAATCCCCGAAGAAGAAGAAAATGAGCAAGGGTTACAAAACATATTTGAAGAATTAGTGACAAAAACTTTCCTAATTTGATGAAGAAAAAAGGTATTCAAGTTCAAGAAGCACAGAGAGCCCCAAATAAGAAGAACCCAAACAGGCCCACACAAGACACATAGTAATCAAAATGCCCAAAAAATTAAAAACAAAGAGGGAATCCTAAAAGCAGAAGAGATAAGCAACAGGTTACCTACAAAGGAAACCCCATAAGACTTTCAGCTGACTTCTCAACAGAAACTCTACAGGCCAAAACGGAATGGCATGAGGTAATCAAGGTCATGAAAAACAAGGATCTGAATCCAAGACTACTCTACCCAGCAAGGCTATCATTCAAAA